GGCAGACAACATCTCCTTCTCAGACACAAGTTAATTTCCAGAATGAAAAAGCCCAGAAGAAGAGAAAGGTGGTGGAGATGGAGACCAAACAAAGCAACACTCTCATAAGGATATATGAGCACTAGATTGCAGTTGTGGGCACAGCTGGAGAGAAGGCTTGAAGGCAGGCAACTGGAGCATAGGGACTAACTTCCTAAGAACATCAAGAGGCTAGGGATGTACCTCATTTGAGAGCGTGCTTGCCTAGGATGTATAATGCCCTGGATTGGATGCCTGACACCTCATAAACCAGGAGTGTGGTACACACCTGAAATCCCAACATTTGGGAGGTAAAGACAAGAGGATCAGGAATTGGGGGTCATCCAAAGTCAGTCCAAGCTACTGAGATCCAGAGCCAAAGTGAATCCTTAGTTTCTCTAGCCTTTTTTAATTTCATAGACAAATAACTGGAGAAGAAGTGTTAGCTCATTCTGGCAATCTGCTTTTATTTTGCTAAAAAGGATATTAATATAACTATCATTATTGTTTCTTTTTGTCAGAAAAAAATAGAAACAGCACAATCTCAGAATTACATGAGTCATAGAGTTGAAAACATTCAGTTTTATATTAAAAAACTTCAACATACTTTGTTCTAATTTTCTCATTTTATTAGGGTCACTTTGTCACTATCCAACTCACAGATGAGTGTTCAAGAATACAAGGAAGATTTCTGAAACATGTCCAAGATAATAACATTTATTATCTTCAGGGAAATTCATGCTGATAATTTTAGTTACATTGCAAAACAGAGATCTAAGTCAGACATGATTTATTGACTCATCCAGGCCCTGGATGAAAACAAAAGGCCCAATCCCTGCTCTTAGAAGTTAATGAATACAACATGCCCTCATCATTTACAGATAAATATTTACAGATAAATATTTGCAGATATATTACGAAGAGAATGCTTTAGTAGTGAGAGCATGTGAAGGGAGGAACCAGGAAAAGGCAGTGTTCATCAGGGGATATTCTCTTTCCTTTTTAGGACAGAGGAAACTGAAGCACAGGGGCTAGAGAGCATCTTGGTAAATAGATACAAATAAGGCCTGATTCTGCTGCCCTCAGGGTCAAATGCTTCTTAGTCGATTTTGGTGTCCAGGTGTTTTTGAATTTTCAGTGGAGAGTCTGATGGGACAATGCATCTGCCACGGATGACTGGACCCCATGTTAGTTTCTCCTTGTCTCCTTAGCTTTGGCAGGAGGGGACCATGAAGAGGGAACACAGCTTTGTGTTCCCACCAAAAGACAATTCTTGGTGATGTTTTACATAATGTATGTTATAAACACAGCAGTTTGGGACTGGAGAGATGGATCAGTGGTTAAGAGCACTGACTGCTCTTGCAGAGGACCAGGGATCGATTCCTAGCACCTACATGGTGGCTATCGACCATCTGTAACTCCAGTTCCAGGGGATTCGATGCCCTCTTCTGACTTCTGTGGCATTGCATGATATGGGTGCACTTACACACATGCAGGCAATACACTTATACACATAAAACAAAAATAATATTTTTTAAAAAACCCACAACGATTTCATAGGAGTTAGTTGTAGGACTTCCTGTGACTACCAAAGCCTGAAGATGCTGACATCATGGAGTCTCCACATTCCTCCACATAAGTTCTCTCTGGATTATTTGTAATACTTCATTCAATGCCTAGTAGTTGCTAATACTATTTTGTTTCAAAAGAGTGATGAGGGGAAAGAAGTCTGTACTTGTTTGATAAACATTTTTTTGAATGTTCCTAGTCCATGGTTCAACAGTGAGGATGCTGGACTGGGACATCCAGAGCCTGGAGACAGGCAGGCCAAGTGTTTACTGGACAGTTCATTTCTCAACTACACAGTAATGGCCAAAATAAAATAACATGGCCACTCCCAGTGGACTATATGCATAAAAAGGGGGGATGAGTAGAAGAGGGCACTGCTTTGGGAAGAAATGAACAGGGTATTAAACAGAAGAAACACATCTATGTTTCTGAAGAATGATAGCCATCTGAAATGACTTATGTCTCCTGAATATTTAGAAATAATCAAGTTCAGTTTCAAGAGTCAAATATTCTCCCTAATTTGAAAGAAACATTCCTTCATGCAGAGGGATTATTGAAAACTTTAGAGATGTGACAGTATATAGCAACCTGTCAAGATTCACTGTGTACACAGAATACTTCCCTAGATTCTGAGATACTGGGAAGGAGGGAGTTGTAAGTCACCCTCAAGGGAGCAAACTAGCAATTTGTACAAGGTTTGACAGACTACAAAGGTTTGCAAGCCACTGAAAAAGATCTCTCTCTTGTCCCCCCCCTCCTATATTTTAGGCAACAGGCCACTGAGGACAGAGGAAAGTAGGTGAATTATTTATTATTATAATTAACTTTGAAGCCCCTCTAGTCATTTGCTCCAATTATCTTCCCCTGTTCCTTCTCAGACCCCTTCCACTTTCAAATCGTATGTGTGCATTTGTTTATATAAATTTTATGTGTGATATTTGCCTGAGTCTGACTTACTTCGGGTAATATGATGATCTCCAACTCTATCCATTTTCCTACAAGTGACACAATTTCATTCTTTTTTATGGCTGGATAAAATTCCATTGTGTGTGTATATATCACATTTCCTTTATCCATTCATTGGTTGACAGACAATGGCTGATTTTGTAACTTGCCTATAGTACCACAATAAACACAGATGTGCAATTATCTGTAGCATGTTGACTTAGATTCCTTTGGGGATATACTCAGGTGAGGTATAGCTGGATCATGTGATAGTTCTAATTTTAGTTTTTGAGGAATGTCCATATTGATTTCATAGTGGCTGCACTAGTTTTCATTTCTTACCAACAGGGTGTAAAGGTTCTCCCCCTCCTCCCCCTTCCTCATCAATGTGGGTTGCTGTTTATCTTAATGCTAGCCATTCTACATGGGGTGAGATGGAATCTCAATGTGATTTTAAAATGTATTCCCCTCTGACTAAGGATGTTGAACATTTTCTCCTGTGTTTATTGACCATCTGTACTTTTCTTTTGCGAAATGTCTGTTCATTTAATTTGCTCATTCATTGACTGGATTGGCTTCTTGGATTGGTTTTTTTTAGTTCCTCTTATATTCCAGATATTAACAACCTAAGTTTCATCTGGAAGTTCAAATGATGCTGGATATTCAAAGCAATCCTAGGCAAAAAAAAAAGTAATGTTAAGAGTTATCACAGTACCTGATTTTAAGTTATACCATAGAGTCATAGGAGGAAAAGCAGTGTTATTGTCACAAACACATGTAAATCAAAGGATCAGAAGACTGAGAAATGAACCCATGCAGTGACATGATTTTTCATCGAGGTGCAAAAGCACTGGAGAAAAGACAGTCTCTTCCACAATTGGTGCTAGGAAAACTGGCTGTCTAGAAGTAGAAGAATGAAACTCGATCTCTGTCTCTCACCCTACACCCAAATCAATCCAAAATGGATCGAAGAAGGCAGGAGAAAAGGAGCTGGAGAGATACCAGTAGGTGGCGCCTATTTCTTCCTGCAAGATCAGTATGTTTTGCTCTGTCTGGAATCTTCTAGGAATCAAGGGTAACCCTGCCATGCAGTCCATGCAAGGGACACAGATCATATCCTTCTTAGTGCTGAGTCCATGAAATCACGAGTTCCACTCTGCGGCCTAGACTAGCACAGTCCTGCATTACCACCTAACAGACAAAGTTGTATTATGTTCATACTTCACCTCAGCCTTCCTTCCCCAAGCCAAGTCACCCTATGGAGACTGTCAAGCTTTGAGTGCAGTGCAAAAATAATGTCCTGAGGAAGTTGGAGCTTAAGCTCTGGGAAGGGAGTAGGACTTTATTAGTCGTTCAGCTGGTGAGACTTTAGGTAGCATAAGTTCTCTGGGCTTCTCACGGTATGCAAGCCCTGGTTTGGGCACCCACAGCTGATTATCCATGGCAGAATGCAAATTCATTTCCTTGTATGTAAGACCCACAAGGGTAAGGAGAAGAAGCAACATGACACTGTCATGGTACCTGGGCTCAGGCTTAAGATGTGACCTGCTGCCTTATTAGGTCATTCATTGGCTTTCTAACCTCTGAAGGGCATCATCTAATTTGGGGCTCTATCAGTTATAGCCAGTGCCCCGTCTCATATGCCAATGTATTCTGCCCATCAAAAAAACCTAAAATCAACCCTTTCTTGGAGCTGGAGAGATGGTTCAGAGGTTAAGAGCACCGGCTGCTTTTGCAGAGGACTCAGGTTTGGTTTCCAGCTCACAACCTTCTGTAACTTCAGTTTCAGAGGACCTCGTGCCCTCTTTTGGCCTCTGCAGCCATCAGGTAAGTGGTGCACTTACATACATGCAGTCAAGGCATTCATACACATAAAATGAAAAAATTTTTAAAAAGAAAACCTTTCTCAAAGTCCTTCTTTTGGATTCATTAGTTTGGTCTGGTCTGGTCCCTCCAGTATACAATGAATGTGTGAAATCCTGGGGATTGTGTATTGACAGTTTGAATTCAGTTCCACCTCTGCAGGGGTAATCTTAGCTCAGTTTCCCAACTCCCTCTGTCGAGTGAAGGAAGCAATTTTTCCACTCAGGGATTTTCTGGAGTCAACCAGAGAATTTGCGTAGGAAGCGCCCCAAAGCTAGGGGGCGTCCGTGGGTGCTAACCCCAGAGTGGAAAACTCGTTTTGGGAGACCTCCCTGTGGTCTCATTGTATTCAAATCCCATCAAATAGCTCCTGGCGGTTTTCTCAACTCCGTTAAAAGCCCTCGTTCCCGCCACCCCGCCGCCATCTGGGATCTGCCGCCCAAGTGAAAGTTGCCCGGAGTGGGCCTAGAGCTGGGATGAGGAGGAAGACAGTGGGGCTGGGTACAAGGGAAGGCCGGGGCTGGCCCCAGAGAGCAGGGAGGAGGAGCGCGGAGCAGGCGGAGCAGGGGGAGCGCCGGGAGGAGGCGCGGGCGGGAGCACCGAGCAGACACATGCGCGCTGCCGCCGCCGCCGCCGCCGCCGCCACCACCGCCGCAGTGTTCGGCTTTCCGGGACAGGAAACCTTCAAACCCGAGCTGCGGCGGCCGCCTCCGGGTCCGCGTCCCGACTCCGCGCGCCTGGCTGCTGTCCGGCGCCTTTCCCGGGAGTACTGCGGCCACTCGGGGCCCAAGCTGTCGCCTTCCCGCCGCGGACTGCTCTGACCCCCCCCCGCAGGAGCGGCGCGGCGGGGCGGGGCGGGGGGGCCCGGGAGAAGATGGCGACGCCGGGAGGCGAACCCCAAGCTTTCGCGCCTGCCCTGTCCGTAGCGGCGCTGCACCCGCATCACCATGCACACCATGCACACCATCACCACCAGCACCACGGCGCAGCGGGAGGCGGCGGGGGCGCGGGTGGCGGCGGGGGTGCGGGCTTCAACCTGCCGTTGAATCGGGGTCTGGAGCGCGCGCTGGAGGAGGCGGCCAACTCCGGGGGCTTGAACCTCAGTGCCAGGAAGCTGAAGGAGTTTCCCAGGACCGCAGCCCCTGGCCACGACCTCTCGGACACGGTTCAGGCAGGTAAGCCGGGGCTGCGGCTGTTGTGAGGGAGGGCCGTCTAGTGGAGCGGCTGTCTCACCGTCCGGGACGCGGTGACCCGTCTGCTAGCAGGAGGCGCCCTCCGGAGTCCAGCTGGCGCGCGAGAAGCGGGTTCTGCAGTGGGCACGGTGGACAGGCGACCCGCGGCGCGGATGCTGGAGGGCAGGGATGCTCTGGCTGCGGGTGTGCGGCGTTCTACAGCCGTTGCCTGCCGCGCGTGGGAAGTGGAAGGTTGCAGGCGGTCCCCGTGGGGTTTCTGGGCCGCGCGCAGGGCCCGGAACACCAGAGCCGTTAGCTTGTCTGCGCCTCCAGCCAGGTCTGGTGGTCGCCCATCCTGGTGGGGAAACCCAGACAAAGGTGACTGGCTGTCGCCCTGCCCGGGGTCATCTGCACCGTGTCGGTCTCTTGCACTGCATTGCGCGAGCGTGCAACTTGGTGCAGTCTGGGAGGTGGTGCTCGGCTCGTTTTTCCTGCGCCTGTTAGAGCACAGAGCCAGGGCTAGACGGTTGCGGATTCCAGTGGCCTGTCGCCTCGGAAGCTGGTGTCCGGCTCACCGCCCACACATCCCAGCACTGGGACTACCTGGTTGGTTCTCAGTAACCCAAGCCTTGGAGAGGAAGCGTGGCATAGTAAATGAAAAGTAATTAAAGTGAGCCGGTTTCCCTGTGTGAGCTTTGCAAGTTACAGCTCGCGCCAATAAGCAGCCAGCTTCTTCAAGTTATGTCATGTGTTGACATATTTCGGAGACGTCTGCTTTCTCTTTGGTAGCTGGAGTTGTGGAAGCGGATCCATAAACAGGAAGGAGGGTGGTGGAACAGGGCTGGGGCCTAGGGACCCATGTAGAACTGACTTGGTTTGCGACCATCCGGTTCCGCACTCTGCGGGTTCCTCTTCTGGCGAGGGCCCAGCATTTCCCAAGGCAGTGGGTGCCCCATTTGGGGGTCACCACTTGGATCTTTGGACTGTCATCGCCTTCTCCAGCGTGCGCCAGGTCTCCAGGGTCCTGGATTGCTAGACTCTCAGCTCAAGGTCTCCCAGCTTCCTCTTATAATGGAAGATTAGGGGGCGGGGATAGGTAACCAGCAGGGCCTTGGGAGGCTTGTTTTCTTGGTCCCTTTTCCTGCTTTAATTCAATAAACATTTATCAGGAGGACTAATGAAGGTTTAGATCGAGTTTTGAATTCTTTGGAAACCAAAAGCGCGCTTCCGGGGTCGTTAAACTGATATTTGGATTTAGGGATCGTTAGGAATGAGCAAATGAAGGGGAATTTCCATAATCGAGCACTCAACAGCTGGGGAAGCTCTTGCTAGGACCTCATAGTTACAGCTTCTCAAGCAGAAGTTATTCCAAGAATTGCCTGAATCATTTATTAACTTAAAAAAAAAAATCTGTTAGTGCATTCTACTGCCCTCTGTCATTTGTATCATTAGGTGTAAATGGTTGTGTAGTATTACAGAAAGAATAGGCATAACCAATAATATGTGTTTGTACAGTTCAGTAATGGGCTTAGAGTTGTTCCAGTACTTCAGTATTGCTGGCTGTTACCCCAAAGTTAGGTAAACTTGACGAATTTGCTGTACTGGTAGTCCTTTGAGAAACCCAGTGCTTTGAAAGTCGGACCTTCATTTTTCAATTATAACCTCGACAAGTGGAGTGGATGCTTAAAAATGTTGCTTCCTGTTCTTTCTGCTTGTTTATGGCCAGCGCTGGCTGTGGGTTTTGCAGGTGTTTAATCATGAGTCTAACTTGCATGTATTTAATGCTCTGAAAATTCTCAACTAGTTAAAAAAAATTAAGAGATTTCATACTAATTTTGCAGCCTAAAACAATGTTATTTGGGGCAGAGGAGACTTAAAAAGGTGCCAGCAAAGTTTGTAGGAACTTAAGGCAATATAATAAAAAGGAAAAAAAAAAGTGGTCGAGGAGTCAGTTATTTTCCATAAAATGTGACTACCCAGTGTGTTAAAGATCACTTTTGGGGGCTGGAGAGATAGCTCAGTGGTTAAGAGAACTGATGCTCTTGGAGAGGACCGGGGTTCAATTCCCAGAACCCACATGGCAGCTATGAACCGACCTTAACGCCAGTTCCAGGGGAATTTGAAGCCCTCTTCTGACCTCCGTCCGCGGCATTGCATGGCACGGATGCCCTCACAAGCATGCATGCAATACATTCATACGAATAAAATAAAAATAATTAATAAAATATTAGAAAAAAGATCACTTTTCACAATATCTTAGACTTGGTTCAAAAGCTGAGTGCAAACACATAAATTCCTCTCTTTGTTCTAAAGAAATACTAAGGTTGGGCAGGGGGCCTAATTCCTGTAATCCTAAATTGGAGGCCAGCCTGAACATCATAGTAAATTCCAGACCAGCCTGGGCTACACAGTGAGGACCCCCTCACTCAAAAAAGAATATACTTAGTTGAATGTTATGATTATGGCTTACTTAGGGGAGCAATAAAGCAAAATAAAGTAAGAGTTAAATAAGATGTTCAGTGGGAGGTGTTGACATTTCCTAAACATAGAGTTCTGGGAGTCTTGATAAAAGCTTGGTAATGATATATTCCATAAAGATAGTAGTTTCTCCTGAGCTCAGACAGAATAGCTAAGGCAGAATGAACAGCATATGAAGATCTTTTAAAGACCTTTCCATAAATTTTCCAGACAGTGAGGTATAGCATCCTTTTTCTGTTCAGTTGTTTCATGCACACCCTTTGGTTTATGCCTTTTAAATAAAGTAGCTCTTCTGACAGCCACCTCTGCAGACAACACTGCATGCTTGGGCGATGCAGCACACCTGAACAGAGAAGCACACAACAGAAATTTAGACACCCGGAGCTGCTGGGTAGAAAGAAACAAGTCCAGGCTCTGTCCCCCAACTGCATACATTTACTCAGGGAAAAAAACTCATGCTCTTACTTTGAGGCTGTTCATTTATTTGAATTTCAGTCAAAATAAGTTTTGTTATGAGATGGCAGTCTTTGGGTAGGTTTACTGAGAAAGGGAGAGGTACAGTGGCATGAGTGGCATGCCCTAAGCCCCAGTTAGCACTGATGTGGGCACATGTGCCTACTTGGCTATGGCAGAGTACTTTGCATCAGGAGGACAGTTGGATTCTCATTTACAGGTAGGGAGACCAAGCTGCAGGGGGAGCCAGGTAATATGCTCAGGGTTCTACCCCTATTTAGACTACTTTAGATGGAAACTAGTAATTTAATCCCAAGGCCTATCTCTAGTGTTAGTGCACCATCTCTTGTTGGGCAGAGGGGAGGAGCGGAGGGGTACAGAATCTGGGAGTCTTCCTGGAGGGTCAGTCCATGGACACTCATCCTTGAATATCTACTGAGCTCTACTGTGGCCTCCAGAGATGCAACAGTGACTCACAGAGAATCCCTCCACTCCTTCCTATGAAGCTTCCAGTCTGAGGGAGGAATGAGAAGATAGATTTATTTTATACGATGAGTAAGAGAAGTTTTTGGGTACACATAGTATCTTTGTTTTATAGACACATAAGCCTGATTTGCATGGACTTCAGGTTGCTTGTGTCTAGAGCACAATTGATGATCGGTGATAAGTATAAAAATGGGCCTGATAAAAATAAGTACACAGAGAAGCACATCAATAAAGCACCCTCTTTTCCTCTCTTGTGTTGATTTATTATGTGGCACCAGTTTAGATGGAGAAGTTCAAAAGGGTGTTTGTATGACTGACATAAAGTGGATTGAAAAGAGTGGAAAGAAAAGTCTGAGACTGCTACATGAGAGTCTAGAAAGTAAAAAGAAAAACTTTACCCTTGGCCTTGGCAACCCTCACTGAAAGTTGGTAGTGTTTAGCTAGGCCTGGTGGCATGTGCCTATAATCCTAGCATTTGAGAGGTGACAGAGGATCAGGAGTCAGGGTCAGCCTTCACTGCATAATAAGCTTGAAGCCATCCTGGAGACCTTTCCTTAAAAAAAGAGTTGGTAGTTGGTATTGTTAGGGGATGGCTGGAGTGTACCATTTTCAGTTTCTTACTGTGTTAGCTATAAGCAGGAAAGACTAAATGATGGTAGGAACTTGTCCAAACAGGAATATAGTCTTGTGGCATGAATACTCACTGAGACTGGACAGTTGTGATCCAGCTACAGAGGAGGCTGAGGCAGAAGGATCACAAGTTCAAGGCTTTCCCAAACTACAAAGTGAGTTCAAGGCTAGCCTGGACAACTTAGATCTTGACTCAAAACAGAAAGTAAAAAGAGGGCACAGGCTGTTGCTTGGTGGGAGAGCACTGCTCAGCATGTGTGTGAGGCCCTAGGTTGAATGGTTAGGATTTAGTACACCAAAACAAAGGAACAAAAACAAAACAACCCCCCATCCCAAATGCTCTGTGTGTGTGTGTGTGTGTGTGTGTGTGTGTGTGTGTGTGTGTGTGTTTCTTTTTGTTGTGCTAGAGACCACTGCAGGGCTTGGAGCATGCTAGGCAAGTGCTCTACCACTGTGATACTCCCCCAGGCTAGAATGTGTATTTTTATGTCAGAGTGTAGTGTGGGGCTGCAAAGTGTAAGACAGGAATACATGAGAAGGGTAAAGGTCCAGGAAGCCCCTGCAGCTGATTCAGGCCAAGGTGAGGCTCCGGAGAGCACTGATAGGCATGCAGGCAGGGTTCAGAGGAAAAAGTCCTCTCTGTTACTGGCTAGGAAGACCTCCACAGGACAGGTAGGATGCGGGTCAGAGTTTGCAGAATGGTTGGGCTGTGGGTAGCTCATGAGCATTCTGTGGTTGGAAAGATGAATCTAGGATATGGAGGGAAAGAATTTTTCTGTATGAAACTGTGTATTTTAATAATGGAGATCTTTTTTAAAGGTTAACAAAAAAAAAAAAAAAAAAAGGAGAGAGGGCATTTAAGCCTGTCCCCTGGTCATATCCTCCTACCCCATTCCCACCTGACAGGGTGACGGAACACAGGGCTTTTATGATCTGTTGTGTGAGGGCTATCTGGA